AAAATGTGAACGACCCCTAATTAATGACCCCTAATCAACGACCAAAACCCCCTCCCCCCGTAATCAACCGTAAACATTTGGAAACCCCCTCCCCCTCGACCCCTTATTAAAAAAACGGATGATGATTAATCACTCTAGTACACTCGACTGTCACGTGACTTTTTAAACACGTTCTCTTGATGGCCCTGAATGACTAATCCGAAATCCTAGCCCTCTGATCTGATCCCAACCCTAACCCTAACCCAATTTTTAACAAAAGCATATGCTGAAACCCTACCCGGACCCCTAACGAGAAATTAGACCAACTTCCTTGTATGGTCATATCACGTGATCGAGACAGTTTTTCGCCAATATCTCGCTAGGGGAGCATTTTAACCCTATGTCATGGGGGTGATTCGGAATCAGCGTGCGAAATTAAAATACATCGATCCAACTTGGGCTCAACTATCGGGGGCCCTTTTAGAAAAATCTTTAAGATCGACCGTAGAGTGATTTAGCACGCTCGTAAAAAACTGAATGTAAATCTTTGGTGAGTGCAGATAAGGCAACCTCCACCATACCAACCTCATGATCATAATCATCACCTGATTTGTCTCCCAAAAGAGATGGATTCATGATCTAATAAACTAATTACTTATTCATATTACGTGTGTGGTTTATTACTTAAGGAAGTAGAATTTATTGAATTTAATAACTTTAAGGCTAAGTTTGTCTTTTCCGTAGATTAAGAACCTTCCAGATTAAACTGTAAGTGTAAGATAAAATGACATCATAACTTGAAAACACTTTGTTCGCAACTCTTTTCCAGTTTCAGTTTGCTCCACTTTTAATTTTCTTTTATTAAAATTATGGCCTTTGAATCAAGGAAAATTCACTACTTCAACTTTATCCGTTAACTAGAACTTTTACAAAATTTGAAGTACCATTTCGAGTACGGGTAGCATACGCTAATTTCTGGTTACCTCACACAATATGATAAATCAAATTAACATAGCATATTCAATAATTCTTTATTCTTATTGAGATACATATTTTCGACGGTTAACCATTATAACAGCTTTTTCAGCTGTAAGGGGTCGTTCACATATTACGTAATAATTTTTTGGAACATTTTTACCCCCCCCCCCCCACTCCGTAATCAGTTTTACACATAGCTTAAGCTATTGTGTCAAAATTACACTATATATAAGCGTAATCATTCGGAAATCCCCCCTCAGCTGATTACGTAATATGTGAACGACCCCTAACGTTTGGTAACGTTTACTTTGATTAACAAAATTCATTGTCTAACTTTTATAGGCTCAGTTTGACGTTCAGCTAGCGTCATGACATGCCGTTACGTCATCCAAAGTTGGAGGGGGATTGTTTTCAAACAATCCCCCTCCAACTGTTTAAGTGATGCATCGTTCGTGTTCTTAAATGCGGTGGATCAGGGGTGTATTATAGGTCTGTCCGATATATTTGGACGGTAACTGTGAGCAGGATATCTCGTAGATGTACGGAGCACCCAATGATTACGAAATTAAATACATAATACATTTACAATACAAGTCCTGCACTTCAAATTTGTTATCGCACGGAAGTTGGGCAGTATCCAGATAGCCCGACATCTTATGGACAGTGTACTGTTATGCGGTCATATGATGTCATAAGATGTGTTTTACGATGTTCCTGTACAAAGGAAACACGATATAACTATGAGGTATTACTCTTGAAAGTAGAATAAAGATTGTAAAAGTAACATAGAATATAGCAGAACTGCTCGAACATCACCCTCTAAATAATTACAAAACGGCACTTATATATGGAATGACACGTGACGAGTGATTTATGACCATGAGACATGAAACTACTATCTAAATGGTTGTGAAGTCGTGGTGAAGTGAACACGTGACATTGACGAGTGATAATTGTTATGAATCTCTAAGGTGAAATGGAATGTGCTGACTTTGTGCATATGAAGTGAATTGGTGCTAAAAGTGGAATGTGAGTGCTTGTTATTAGATGTGAGAATAATGTGCAGTGGAGCATGATGTGATGTGATTTGTGAATATTAATACCTATAAAATTAAAACATTTAAAACAAATAACAAAATATACTCTTTAAAAGGCAACACAACAAGATGTTTGTGGACAACTGTCGATGAGATGTCCGTAACTGTCCATGGGCATAAGACGTGTCGAGCTATATGTATACTGCCGCCGCCGGTAGTTGAACTACTAGTACTGGTTCTTAATTTAAAAAAGGCTTATTAGGAGTGCATGGTTTCTTATGAGTTGTTGGCATTCAGGCTTCAGCCAATGACGCTCCTTACATGTTAATCTTAGAAGTTCGGCTTTCATATTACTTTAAACACTGAAATTACTGCGATCACTCCTATAATACTAGTCAAATGCATAATTTTTCTTGTGTTCGTGTTAAATTGTTTCTGGATGGAAAAACGCAACGTATTGACCGTGTCGTTTGTTCCAGCTGTTCAAAGTACGTACCAACAACTCCAAGTTTTTAACGATTTCCTTTAATTATTAACGAAATATGGCATTTTTGACACATTCTACAAATTGAGACGATTCTGACCATTTTAATGCCCAAGATGAGCGCTTAACTCCAACCAAAAGCTGAGATATCTTGAAATAAGTGTGATAATTGTTAGTCGCGAGACTGTATAGTAAAATCGGATTTTGGCGATTTCTCAAAAACTAAGTCTCTTAAGTTCATGCCTGAGGTCTCTATCTCAATCAGAAGCTGAGATAATTTATAGTGGGGGTCGCGTTATGGGTGCGGTCAAAAAGGGCGTGATACTCGATTAATAAGTGTTATTTACTAATACTAAATAACACTTATTAATCGAGTAAAAATAACTTATTTAGGGTCATATAAATCGGATAACATCGAGAAACTTCGTAGACGTCCCAATATGTGCGGGACTTTTGTCAGTTCCACGATAATAGACTACTGGATATATATTTTAATACACCCCCTCCCCCCACGAAGAAAATCATTCCTACACACCTGTCCAGACTCTTTAGCTGTCGAAGATCCCTGGTTGCAAGGCTTGCTAAAAGTAAATAACGATCAGCTCTTCCAACGCCCAGTTAGTCTAATTATGACTCCCAAGCACCATCTCGTCGTTAGGACGATTTACTTTGCTGTCTGGTGCATGTCGATCTGATCAAGCGTCATTTCAATGATGGGCACATCTGTAGTCTGTACAATTTCAAGTATCATCGTTCAATTCCGATTCCTCCACATCACGACAATCAAATCTGGGAATGTGAAGTAGCCATTTGCTCATATAATCTGGCTAGTTATGAACGAAATGAGATCTTTACCTGCATTTCAAAGTAGAGGGCTGAACATTTTTTTGGCCTTCTTCAAGGTCTTTAGAACCATCACTTACTGTCTTAGTGACAGTGAGTGATGGTGAAGGCGGTTCTCCTCCGAGAAAATGTGTACAATTCTTGTTTAGTTTGTACTATTCTTATATGTGTTTTATTGTCCAAAATTGTCTTGCTTAGCCTCATCGAGTTGGTAACACTATCATAGAATTACTGTAAGTAATAGCTATTCTACAGTGCACACAGTCATACATAAAATTTCAATAATCTACATTTATTATTAATGTAAACATAGTTAATAATCATTTGCCCTTTCTATTCGATTGTTTATTTTAGCAAATTTTCCGATCACTTTATTGTTCACGTGATAAATCAAACGCCACTGATCGAGAGAGTCACCGCACTTTATGGCTGGAACTTATACCAGGATAGCACATACTTTGCTGACCTTATACTCTATAGTTCACAACATCTAACAACGCTTCAGAGTTTTGTTATTTTAGCGGAAATTCCAGTTTCTTAGTTGAAATTATTTTTAAAAGAGTAGGAAGTTACAAACTTATAGTTATATTCTTATTGAGGGCTCCCTCGCACGCTGCATTTAGCCTAGAAGTCATGACAACGACATTACTTTGCAAAGTTTAAAAGCTACGATCGTTTATTTAGCCCAAAATCAAACTTTTCGGTTTAATTCAGAATCTAAGTTGTCCCAAATTTGGCTCCTGGGGAGCTAACTATAAATTTACGAGCATGAAATTTTGTTGAAAACCGGAAGGTTCTATTTATTTTACTTTTGGAGATATTCCCCAGCCGGTAGGGTTTGCTGGGTCGCGATAATTTAGGCCAAAAATCGCGTCGAAATTTTTTCAAAGGTTTTCTGGAAACTACTTACTTTTGTTCATTACATGTTCTTACATGTTTCAAGCTACCGGCCTGATAATTATGAGCTTCTGAAGTCCGTACATACATTCGGAAGGCTGTGGATGTGATTGGTTCCACTTCCATGGGGGTACTTATATAAAACTTATAAAGAACTTAATATTTGGCACTCAGATTTAAAGGAGAATGCGTAAATTTGGTTCTCAGATTTAAAGGAAATTGCGCAATTTGTCGTGGAGAATTGAAATAATTGCGATTTGTCGCGAGGATCTGAAAAAATCGCGGTTTGTTGCGACAAACGTCAAAAATCGCGATTTGTCGCGGAGAATGGAAAAAATCGCGATTCCGCACGTGCCGCGATTTCCTTTTATTGTCCTTGTAATAAATAAATAAATGCTAACAGTTGAAGATTTCTATAAATGATCCAACCAATTCCCGGAATAAATTTGTAGGTTATAACCTACCAGGACGCGCGCCGAGTTGGACTCGTCGACGGTCCTGGAACAAATATTTTACGAGTATCACCCGTTAAGAATAAATCAATTTCTGCTGACTTAAAGTTAACTGTTTTACACTAGTTTTATTATAATTCGGTGGATCAACCCCTGCTCTTTCTCTCGGCAATTATTGTTTAGTATTAGTACTAGTAGTAGTACTAGTAGTAGTACAACTACAAAGGAAGCCAGAAACTAGAGCTGTAGTGTTATGACTTATGACCCAATCATGTATTCAGTTCATAATTAAAAGAACACACCCTAACAACCATCTCCTCTACCAGCCTGTTTAGGTGAGATGTCGGAGATGGATCACTTCAACGCTCCACCCTATCCAGAGGGGGACCCACCAGCCCGTGTCACGTGGAAGGGAGCTATAATCAAGGACAAGAGCTTGTGGTTCAAGGCTGGGTCTGGCCCTATCAGGGTGAAGTTAAACCCGGTGGTTACTATACTGAGTGCGCTTCTAATCATTGCGTTTATTTTGTGGTGTATCTTAGCACCTGATCGTAAGTATAGTATATGGTTAAAAAACACTTAATTCACGCCTTGTTATTTTCAGTATCGATAATAAATGTTGAATATTTAAGATGATCTTTTGATGGACTCTACCCTCTTTTAACAAACCGTTTCCTACTTTTAACTTTTAACTTTTATATCAAATCATTTAATTTAGGTGCATATATATAACTAAATAACATATTTGTTGAATAAACTGATATGAGCATCCCTATTTTCAGATGCGTTGACTTCGTTCAAATCGGCTAAAACTTGGATAACCAGCACTTTTACGTGGCTGTATGTTGGGTCTCAGGACATTTGGACTATCGTCATCATTGCTATCTACTTCAGCAAGTATGGGGATATGAAGTTAGGTATGTGTATTGAGGTCCGGTATCTGTAATGCTTTATTGTACGATTGACTGTGGTACTGGTACACTGAAATATTTTTGGCATGATCAATCAATGCTAAAATACCATGCATTATCATTTTGATTTATCACCGAATTTAAAGTAAATTGTTAGGGGTGGAAGAACTGAATAGAATTATATTCGTGGGTGCAGAAAAAAAAACTGCTAGTTACAATTCTTTTGAAGTTATCCGCTGCAGTAACTTTTAAGATTCACGTACTCAAGTTCGACAACTTAAGTTCGCCAGAAATCACCCCTGACGAATTTCGGCACGTGTCGAACTAGAGCCAAGGTAGCGTACTCTAGTTCGACAAACAGTTTCTGCTTGTGATCCAATGGCTATTGCCGGGTCTTTATCATAGGGTTCAAATTTCAATGGCAGGTGCACGAGATCAGAAATTTCAAAACGTGCACATAGTCCATTCAAAGGTCCATCTCTACACAGTACACAGTACACATGATTATTAAGAGACGCATTTGAAAAGCAACTAACAGCTGTCTCCCCAGGACAAGACGACGAGGAACCAGAATATAACGATGCTACTTGGTTCACTATGTTGTACGCCAGTGGTGTGGGGGTGGGCCTCTTCTTCTACGGAGTTGCTGAGCCAATCTGGCACTACCAGGGACCCAACCGATACACCAAGGATATATACATGCCTGACAACGAAGTGGCTCAGTGGGCCATGAACCTGACCCTTTTCCATTGGGGGATACACGGATGGGTCGTTTACGCCATGGTCGCTATTATTCTAGCATTCCTGACCTTCAGAAAGGGAATGCCCATGACGATGAAATCATGTTTTTACCCACTGATTGGAGATAGGATTTACGGATGGTTGGGTGATGTTATTGACATCTTCTCCGTACTAACCACTCTTTTTGGTGTGTGTCCTTCACTGGTTCTCGGAACTATGCAGATAAACAAGGGTAAGTATGTAATTCTGATAAAATTCTGCATTAAAAGCTTTTATGTTACATTGTTCAAATTTACGCGACAATTCCCGTCAAATATGGACAAATTTGAGTAAACAACACTGTTCGTGCCCAGGACCATGATGAGCGATGCGGATGACGTACCACTTAACGTCATTATCAAAGGGCTGTTTGTGTACTGCGAGGTTAATTAAAATATCCTGCAGGACTAAACTATCTGAATGAAGACATCGCTGTCAGCATTACTAACCAGGTCATCATCATCTGGTGCATCACCTTCATTGCAACTGTTTCCGTGGCAACGGGTGTTGGTGTAGGTATCAGACGTTTGTCAGAGGTGTGTTTCACTCTGGGGTTGGTGATCATGATGATGGTGCTTTTCCTGGACGACACCTGGTTTGTCCTTATTTTGAGGAATCTCCTTAATGTTATGAGTTTATTGTGAAAACAATTGTCTCGTGGCATGTTATACATCTTCCGCATAGTAAGAGACAGCTGTAACTTGCTTTTCAATATTTTAGATAGATGAGCTTATGACCAATTTTCCTAGGTTTATACTGAACCTCTTCTGTCAAAATGTCGGGTTCTACTTTCAATGGCTAATACAGCTTGGATTCCACTGTGACGCATTCGAACTAAGTACCAAATCATTTGGCGCCCGTGACCGAGGTTAAATAAATGCTATCGCTTGTATTTGATTATCAAAATTTTAGTAAACCTAATGTTAACTGTTCTCCTACTTTATCAAGGATATATACATGATCATACTTTCACAAATATCGAATGTCAAAGTTCACATACCCAGAGCTTGAACGAACATTACCGGTACAGGAAAAAGAAAGGAAAAATAATCCAGCACTAATCAAACCATACTCAGGTCGAATGTATGATGACGGAGAAGGAGACGGGCCCCAGGGCTGGATGGACTCGTGGACCATCTTCTACTGGGGATGGTGGATCGCCTACTCGCCATTTGTTGGAATGTTCATTGCTAAGATATCTCGAGGAAGGACCATCAGACAATTCATCATCGGTATGTTGTTATGAGGTGGCTAGCTCCTGCGTGTTCATAATATAATAGAGACCGAGCTGATTATAAAGACACTTTTGTTTAATACTTCTAAACAACCTTCTCAATTTAAAGTACCTTACAGACCTAAAATTTCCATTTTTTGTCTCATGTTAGAAACGAATATTTTAATCATTTAGTGTATCAAACTGTAAAATATTTATGTACCACCCAACAGGAACTATGTCAGCTCCTATGATCTACACCTTTATGTGGCTCACTATATTTGGAGGAGCGGGCATCCGAACCGAGCGACTCGCTGCAGGCCAAGGACTCTGCTGCACATCTTGGAATTCTACTGTTTTGGGATGGAGTAATGACATGGTTAGTAATTGGGATTGGAATTTTGTATTATTACTTTGCCGCCACGATTCATTTGCATATGTAGCAATACATTTGCTCCGTTTGAAAATGTTTGAAATAAAATCGAATGTGATGGTGTACTGATCACTTGGCTAATATGTTGGAAAATATCACCGTGAAGATTCTACCATATAAAAGTATTAAACATAGCTGGTAGTAACTATCACTTTTACAGATACTAACGGAAACAAACAATTGGCCCATTACAAAAGCCGGATTGAAATTATGTAAAGGAGATGAGGGCGAATCAGCTGCGTGTAAAGATTGCGGCTGGAAGTTGCTTGATACCTTCATCAAATCTAGAGCAGATGGCACCCTCCCTACAGTAGAAGAGATTGTGGGTTACATTAATGATAACGATAGATGGCTTGGGAAGTACAAATCAGCAACAGACAAGTCAGTTTAATCAAGTTGCAACATTATTTTGCCACTGACGTCTGGCGTTTATAAACTTCTTATAGTTATATATAATAAATAAGTACAACTGGTTTTCTTCTCTTATAGAAAAAGGGCTCTACTAGCTGTAGCTAGGAGCATGAAATATCGGTACAAAGCAAACTATGCAATTGTCAAACTATAAGTTTCATGTTTGAAAAGCAATCTTCAGTGACATAATTAACATAAAAATGGCAAACATAATACAACACAGTGCTCCTTTATCAAATTTTATAATTAACAATTAACAATTACTCAATACTACTAAACCTATATAAATAACTACAAATCCTAATAACTAATAAATACTAACTAAATATGTCTAACTAAGAATTTCCTAGAGTGCCTACATTTAGAAATAATTTCTGATCTTTTATTAATAATGCCTGGGGTTTTAAGTATGTATAGTTTCTCGTCTAAACAGAGGCCACAATGCCCCGCTCCAGCCTTATATTTCTTCGATTTAGTAATAATCTTCCAGTCTATGCTATATTCAATCATCTTCTCCTTGAGGTCCCATATCAATTTTGATAACTCGGTACTCAGTCTGTGCTTAGAATTCTTAAAACTTTGTCGATGATTGTACCACCGTGTCTTAAAACTGTTTTCAGTCAATCCAATATAGGCCGTTTCCTTGTTAGATGCCGTTTTAACGGTTGCTTGGTATACTATGCATTTGGCCAGACATTGTCCTTTGAGGGGGCACTTCGAGGCGTCTCTGCAATTACACTCTTTTTCTGGAGCTTTTTTCTTTTCAGATTGTTTCTCTAGGACTGATTTGTTGTGCCCTTTGAGTATCCTTCCCAAACTGGGCATGCAGCAATAGCTTATTTTCACGGTATTCCTATTGATGATTTTATGTAACGGTAGGTTTTTCGGGAAATGCTTATCGATAAGAGCGAAGAACTTTCTTCCGATGTTGGTTGAAACGTTTGCACTGAATGGGGGATTGTACCATAGGATGTTCCTCTTCCGCGATCTCTTTCTCTTTTTAGGCGGTGGTGTTTTATAATCGATGGTGTGACTATATCCGCTATCTCTAAGTGCCTTCTCATAATCGCTTTTGGCTTCATTTAGGCATGTCTTGTTGCTGGATATGCTTATCAATCGTGATTCTATCATTGAGGGTAAGTTCTTTGAGGATACTCAAAGGGCACAACAAATCAGTCCTAGAGAAACAATCTGAAAAGAAAAAAGCTCCAGAAAAAGAGTGTAATTGCAGAGACGCCTCGAAGTGCCCCCTCAAAGGACAATGTCTGGCCAAATGCATAGTATACCAAGCAACCGTTAAAACGGCATCTAACAAGGAAACGGCCTATATTGGATTGACTGAAAACAGTTTTAAGACACGGTGGTACAATCATCGACAAAGTTTTAAGAATTCTAAGCACAGACTGAGTACCGAGTTATCAAAATTGATATGGGACCTCAAGGAGAAGATGATTGAATATAGCATAGACTGGAAGATTATTACTAAATCGAAGAAATATAAGGCTGGAGCGGGGCATTGTGGCCTCTGTTTAGACGAGAAACTATACATACTTAAAACCCCAGGCATTATTAACAAAAGATCAGAAATTATTTCTAAATGTAGGCACTCTAGGAAATTCTTAGTTAGACATATTTAGTTAGTATTTATTAGTTATTAGGATTTGTAGTTATTTATATAGGTTTAGTAGTATTGAGTAATTGTTAATTGTTAATTATAAAATTTGATAAAGGAGCACTGTGTTGTATTATGTTTGCCATTTTTATGTTAATTATGTCACTGAAGATTGCTTTTCAAACATGAAACTTATAGTTTGACAATTGCATAGTTTGCTTTGTACCGATAATAAATAAGTATATAAATTTGAAAATACATATCTTGTTTTTATGAAGGTACTTACACAGGTAATTCAGACATTCGTGACAGGGAATATAATTAACAATTAATGCTAATTACAATCAATTTATCAATACCTTACGAGACATATTTATATGGTACGAAATTTGGGGATTTTTGGAAAAAATGGGAAAAAATCCCCATATTTTCGTACTGAATTTCTGAAATTTTGTACTGAATTACTGTATTTCTGAAAAAAAATCCCCATATTTTCGTTCCCCCATAATTTTGATCCCCGCTAATTATGATCCACATAAATCTGTCTTGTAAGGTAGTTACTAAAGAAATATAATTGCTCAACAGGTCAGTTTCTAGACTGTCGTGTATGGCGAGTGAGGAGATGTTGTTTGCACAAATGTCTACATACGGTGATATGGGGCCCTTCCTTTGCGTCATATCTCTCGTTGCTATCGTACTTTACTTCGTAACCAGCTCGGATTCAGGTATTTCAGAATTACTCAAATCTACGTTTTTTAAGGGATGAATTGTTAATGGCTGGAAAAACTTCAATTAAGGATATCATAGACAACAAATTTCTTTTAATTCCTCTACAATCCCAGGTAGCTTGGTAATAGACATAATGTCGGCAAATGGTGATCAAGACCCGCCCATTCCTCAGCGTATATTTTGGGCGCTGGTAGAGGGCGCCACCGCCACTGCCTTGCTGGTAGCCGGGGGGTCTGATGCTATATACGCTCTGCAGGTAATTAGTAGTTCTATAGACTTTAATGGTAACAGTAATAGCGTTAGGTTAGAGGTTAACATTTAACAGTTTAGGTTAGATCAAGGAGTTACGGTTCAGATTAGCACAAGAAATAAAGCGATGTCCCGAGTCAAAACTCGGGGATCAACTATCAAATTTTTTGAGATGACATGTCGAATCGCGAATCAAAAATTTCGTATAGCCTCAAAACGTTTGATAATTTTCCGAAAATACGAAAACTAAAGTTGAAACGATTTCAGACTGCGAGTGTAGCGGCAGGACTACCTTACACGTTCGTTTTATGTTTTGTTTGCATCGCAACATGGCGAGGACTGGCTATGGAGGTTGGAGACCTAAACCCGTACGGTCCTGACTTTGCAGTGTCTCTGGTGGACCCTTTCTGTACCCTGCAACCCAAACTTTGGTGTGGAGTCATCAGGAACTTGTTCTTAACGTAAGTGTGTTCGAACTTCGAGTGGGTTTTTTAACCGCTGTAGTTAAATCTCTGAAGATTATCAAATCTCATTTTTGGTTCATGAACTATACTTTTACAGTTCTGTTCAAGATATTAACGAGTTACTCATTGTGATCTGTAATCGTTATGACTATCATGTTCTAGGCAAGATGATATTATGACATGCTTACGATTTTGTGTAAGCACAATTTCCAAATAGTTTGAACGTTTTCTGTTCAGGCCAGTTTCACTGTACGAAGTCCTGAGACGCCACAAGCTGGGTGCTGTAGGACCAGCTGTAATGGCGGGACTGTGTTGGGCTGGCTGGGTAGTTCTTATAATATTAGAGATTGTCAACATCAACGTCCCAGACATGCATCTGGGTGGAATATATTCTCTTGGATGGGTGTTCTTTTTAGGATTTGTTACAATCATTACTGCTACCAGGGCTAATATTCGTAGCCACTATGGTATCAATGGAAACCCGCTCGAGGATTTCTTTGCAGCGTTGTTTGTGTATCCGTGTGTGATGGTTCAACTGGAAACAGTGAGCGAAGAGAACGGAATTGCCCCCTTGATGCCTGACAATAGGGATTCTCATCTCTCCACCATCAATGTCATTAACAACAAGAATCACGATTAATCTTAAGTTATGGGCTGGGAAGCACGACCGCCGCCATTATCACAGGGCTGGGAAGCACGACCGCCGCCATTATCACAGTGCTGGTAAGCACTACCGCCGCCATTATACTCACTAGTGAGCTATACTAGTTACCCCATATACTATTATAACCCATTACTGTTTTTCAGGCATTAAGACTCACCGAAAGTAGTTCAGCAGGCATATTTTAAGTTCAAAACATTCTAATTCAATGTCAAAGATGACAGGAATAATAAATGGTTACGTGGAGGTTTTTTTAGAAATTTACGCAAAATAGTAAATACGCGCCAGCACTGTTATTATACGAAATTCGGTAAAAAACCCAAAATCGCCATATTCAGGTGCCTTAAAAAATGTTAAAATTGAGTTAGAGATCTGAAATTTTGCAGGGCGTCTAGATGTTTACCAAATCGACTGTAAAAAAGTTTCAAGTTTCAGGAGTATCGACAAGTGGGTTTTCTGGAACCCCTGTTTTACAACAGATTGTCGTGAAGTATAACTATATATGAATATATATATATAGCGGAGAATAAAAATCAGCTAATTGGACACTAACTACCACTCTTATCCCGAAATACTACTACTAGGTATCGACCCGAAAACAACCCAAAAAGATTTTTACAGCATGTGATTGATGCAATTAGTATCGAAACTTTTGTTTGGGGAAAGAGAGACACTGGCACTGGCAGCTGTCCACTCTACCGGACTACCCATGATTATGGGTTTTGGTCAAATTATAAATGATTCATTTTGTATCCGTAGATTAACTTTTTGCTTTTGTCATACGTCGTAAGACCCGCCGCGCACGGCTCCCCCTGTATCGTAGAAACTTTACTATAGTGAAACGACAATGGGGGTCACAACGTGATACAAATTAACTTTGGGTCGAAAAAACCGGTTGCACTTGCATGTCGTACATATTTAGACAATAAAAGACAATGTTTTGTAACATTACTATTATAAGTATACTGGACTTTATTTCTACCTAGAACACAAATATGTAATAACTACGTGTCTTTTTTAGTTGAAAGATTTTCTGTACGAGATTGACTCAAGGTTTCATAATTGAACCGTTTAGTTATGCACTATTTAAATTAATATAATTTTGCATGTAATGTGAATATACAACAAGTTATTGTAAGTTTCGGGTCTTATAATTATATTATTTATTAATGCTTTTCATGCAAACAAGTGAAAACGAATCTTTTATGTCATGTATCCAGGGTTTGGACTGGAATTGCCCGCTTAAAAAACTTCCATCGCGTTACATTACATAATTTTTTCAATAAATGTAACAGAATCATACCAACAATGAACAACTCATCGATGCTTTTATATTTTAAAGGTTCCTATATTTTGAACGTTTTAATAATTCAAAAAATATTGTACGAACATTGACGAATGTTACTCGTCTAAATTTCTTCGAAGTAGCGCGCGCCGCTTTCTTCTCGAAACTTGATTCACGATGTCAATCCTTCGCATCTCGCCGATCTGCATACATTTGTGGTTGCGAGAAGCATTATTTGATGCGGGCCAGATCATTAACATGAATGGTCAATACGAACATCACCCGTTTTATTTAAATTATAAGCAAAAAACTGCATATTTAAGCATTGTAGCGCGATGCACTACTGGGCCGCGCCGCGCATATTCTTACAACCTTCCGTAGATCAGCAAGATGCACCACGGGGCCTCGCCGAACTAGGAAGGATTGACATCGTGAATCAAATTTAAGCATAGCCATATGCATAAGCAGATCATACTTACCTGGGGACCTCAGGCTATCATGTTCATAAACACCGAATAGAAATTCGGCGGAATGACAGGCTGAGCGCAGCCAAATAACATCATACGCGTTTCTTGTAGCGCGATGCACTACTGGGTCGCGCGCATCAAATAATGCTTCTCGCAACCACATATGCAGATCGGCGAGATGCGAAGGATTGACATCGTGAATCAAACGCGTTTTTTCCGTCACAAAATGCGCTAAATAAATAAATGGTAAAATAGAATAAATTGTAAATGGTGTAAATGGTGAAAACCCAAAAAAGTAACAACTTTTTACTTAGCTTGCTACTAGCCTATTTAATATTATTATTAATTACTCGCTCCGAGTATCTTTTTAAATGAGTATCAAGTATCATCCGTCATTGGTCATATCAAATGAAAACTAACTACTACTACTTATAAATGATCAAGGTCTTCCCTAATAGCTAGTACACATTCTTCATGCAATAAACATTGTAGGTTTATAACCTACCAGGACGCGCGCCGAGGTGGACTCGTTGTTGACCATTGTTAATGATTTGGCCCGGCGCATGCTACTTCGTAGCACTTGCCATCGGGCCATTTCGAGAAGAAAGCGGCGCGCGCTACTTCGAAGAAATTTAGACGAGTAACATCCGTCAAACTCGTTGACGGTCCTGTATTATTTGTAATATTTGGAACACATATTTTACGAGTATCACCCGTTAAGCTTACTCATACTCATAAACTTACTAGGAAAGTGTTCGAAAAATTTAAAGCATATCCAACCATCAATCATTTTGTATCACGTGGTGACCCCCACTGTCGCTTCACTATAGAGTTTGTAGCCGTTTGGTAATGGCTACATGTATCGATCAGACTACCGTTAGTGCAAGTTCCATAATATGTAACCGTGATAACTGTGCCAACGACAGGCATTTCAAATGCGATTAAAGTGCTGCATATGGTAGTAGACCTGAAGACAGTGGAACTATCCCGAAAGTTAAATATCCGAGCAGCTTTCGTGGAACAAATTAGTCGTTCGATTTGTACAGGCCAATCCGAGGTTTGCCAAATGTTTTGTTACAGTTAGCAGACGAATAGGAATGCATTCTGGGAGTTTAGCGTTATAATTGAGTGCGGTTATTTAAACAGTGTTTTGTATCATTATTAACAGATTTGGTCGGTGTTGAACACCTTTGCATCGCCATCTCGCTCTCTGACAAAGTTCTGATTTTTTGGTGTCTTTATTGTCCACAACCAACATCTAAAGTGAACAAAGTATTGCCCATCTGAATACTATAAAAAGACCCAAAGTATGGACCCCATCATCCTATATCAAAACCCCAGCTACCTCTCGTGCCTTGTAACAACATTCGAAGCTCCGGACTTTCAATCAGTTACAAGTTTCTACGATACAGGGGGAGCAGCGCACTCGTGCGCGGCGAGTCATACAACGTATGACAACTTCACCTAACCATTTAATTGACGATGTCAATTCATGGCAGCTCGGCGCGGCACAGTAGCGCATCTCGCCGATCTAGCCAGTGAGAAGTGAGAAGCCTCATTGAGTGCGCGGCGCGGCACAGTTACGCATCGCGCTACAACCTAACCATGTGCTTTCGCGCCACTGCGGGCGCGCTTGTTTCACAAGTCAAGTTGTAGGTTAACAACCTACCAGGACGCGCGCCGAGTTGGACTCGTCGACGGTCCAATATATGGAACATATATTTTACGACTATCACCCGTTAAAAGTCAAGGCGCGCGCTACTGCAAGCGCAAGGGCTCTGGATAGAGCAATATGACAACAATCATTATGTTAGTGTTACAGCTAAAAGCAGTATATTTCTTAACGGGTGATACTCGTAAAATATCTGTTCCATATATTGGACCGTCGACGAGTCCAACTCGGCGCGCGTCCTGGTAGGTTGTAAACCTACAACATATTTCCCCCTATTTTCCCCATTTTCATTACTAATACTAATAGTATAGTCAACTCCGATATCCATTGATTGACGATGTCAATCCGTCGAGATCGTTGCTCTGCGAAGCAGAGCAACGATCGACGACGGAAGCAAGAAGCAAGATTGATTCACGATGTCAATCGTTCGCATTTCGCCGGAGGTTGCGAGAAGCATTATTTAAAGCGCGTGCGACCCAGTAGTGCATCGCGCTACAAGAAGCAAAAATGCTTACCTGGGGACCTCAGGCTATTATGTTCATAAACATAGAGATTAGGCGGAATGACAGACTGAGCGCGGCCCCGTAACAAGAATGCTATAGTTCGCGCGGCGCGTCGAAGCGGCGAAGTCCTCCAACAATATCCACCAAATTTTTCGGACAGTTGTGAAAGCCTTATTGAAAGGTTTTCACAAATTTTCAGAGTGATCTCATTCAAGGAACCGAAGATATGACAAAATAATACAACAAAAATCAACGAATTACGCCAAATTACGCGACTTTTACACCTACTTTTGCTCCAAAAGCCGCGCACCATCAAATATGGCACATATGCGAAACTCACTGATCATTCCAAACAGGTATAACAAATTTGGTAATAGACAGTTTTTGGGTTTTCCAAATAGTTTCTGATTATTCTGATTTGCGACAAATGATATTGCACTGTTAGGATAAACGACGTTTCAAAGTAACAACTTCTTATTCATGCTGACAAAATTGGTAAATATGTGAGAAAACTGTCTCATAAAATTTATTAATCAAAAATGGCTAAACGACAACAAATTGTTCAAATACTCGACTAAAATTAGAATCAAAATCTATATATATACAACACTACTCGATCTGCTATTCAATAAACTTAAAACATCCACTAAACAGCAAGTACGTGATTGTGATCGTGTGATGGAATGACATGTACAGTGATAACAGATGATAAGATGTAAGTGATAACAGATGATAAGGTAAAAGATACAATACATGTGAGATGGTGTATACACAATGTGAGTGAAAATATAGTGAGTGGTTACTGAATGTGAGCGAGATGTGAAAAAACATTAAAACTTACTACTGCTAGAAAACTTAAACTGTATGCAATAAAAAGGGAATGAAACTAAAATATCTAAAATTCTTCAGTACTAGCTATGATAAAACGTTTAATAGTATCCAGTTCTTCTCTCTTGTTAATTGTAGGGTTTAGATTAATAATAAACATCGCTTCGAAAATCTTTCTTCTGACAGTATTGGGTTCAATTCTTAAAATATCTACTTCTAAACTGGGATTTAACCCCTCATGACAGCTCGAATAATGTATGGCAAAAGCTTGACTAACATTAGAAGGGGTAGCAGGGTAGGTA